TTCCGGTTTTCAAGATGTCTGGATTGTTCTTTTTTTTGGGGGGGGGGGGGTGGGTAAATCATCCACTTTGTATTTATCTTCCCAGGCTAGGGATTCATTAACCCCGCTGTGACACAGACTCCCTTTCATTCATTTCTCGCATTGTCTGCCCCAGCCGCTCGCCCTCTCACACCGAAGATTACTAATAAATAAGTGACACCAGAAACAATCGACGTTTGCGCAGCTGTAATTAACTGACTTGATGTTTTCACAGACAGGGAGGGGAGAAAAAAATATCCAGCTAATTAGGAAATTAGTTGAGATTCACACAAAGAGTACAGATTGTTAATTAAATTTCCATGCAGCCGTTGTCGAGGGAAGAGATACGCCTTCTTTCTTTTTTTTTGTGAGCGGCGTTTGTCGTGGTGTTTGGGCGGCTCAGGGTAGGGAAAGGTACCTGACACACACACACACACACACACACAAACACACAACCTTGAGCAGCAGCAGACAACTCTGGCAGCAAGACAATAATCTGGTTCAGTTAGTGTGTAAGTTACATTCACACCTGCACACCCCAGTAGAGGGGACCACTTTGCCTCACGTTACTGAAGCAACCGGTGTGCAGAGATCCAGTTGTCTGTCCGCCCTTCGGTCCCATGCCTGCCATTCATCCGTGCGCTTCTCTCCCTGCTGGATGGAGGTGGGGTTTGGGAGGTGGAACAGACTCCAGATAGACACCCAGGGACTGCTGAGTGTAAATGCGCCGTGTCTGCATCCATGTCCGCGCAAGTCAGTTCAAGTACCGCAGGACGGGAGGGGTGCACGGGTGTGTGTGCGTGGGTGTGTGTGTGTGTGTGTGTGTGTGTGTGTGTGTGTGGATGAGAGCGGCTTGAGCCCCCGCCTGTACTCAGAGGGCCCTGGCAGCAAGAGATAGCGGCTCTATCTTAATGGCTTCTACCGCCTGCCACTCAGCCTTCAGACGGGGTCCTCCGACTGCACGTGCCCCCCTCCCATCTCCCCCACGATAAATCCACTTCAGAGGGGCTAGCGCCTGTCGACGCCGGCCTCGCTGCTCTCCTCCTCTCCCATGAAAAGATGAGAGGGACAGGGAGAAGAAAAGATGGCAGACGTATTGATATACCAGCTCACCCTGAGAAGCATTCAGACCGCAGGCCTTCATGCTCCATTCCAGATTGTTGATCTTATCGCGTCTTTTATAAGACTCTCCTAAGGGTGTTACCCAAAATATGATTCGTGATACTGTGGGAAAAACAAAAGGTGTGTATCGTAACAGTCAGACAACACAACATTTCTTTGGAACTAATCGTTATCCGGCACGTTGGGAATGCTCTTTAGTTTTCTGCATTTAACCGTCTCGGCGTCATTAATGAATTGGATTAGATTAATACTGGTGCAACCAAAGCCCCGTGTTGGCCAAAGCTCTAACTGTCAGGTGACGGCTGTAGTGTTTCCTCACCGGACCATACTGCAAACCAATGGCCTACGTTCAATTAATCAACACATCTGGAAGGGATGAGTCTAAGTTAAGATGGTTTCATGGGGCCTTGTTGCTTGTCAAGAATGTCAAGAATAAACTCTCGGACAATAAACTTTGAGTCGACAAAAAGTCCGACAAATAATGGAAAGTTTGACATCGTCATGACAACTGAACAAACTTGCTGACGATGTCAACATCTGAAGATGGCAAGCACCAAATGGCTAAGGGAAATATTGCGGTGTGATGGACAAAACAAGGCCAGCTTACAATGTTGACCTGTGACGTAGACTGCAGCACCCATCCATCCCCTCAACGTCAACACCGAGCGCTCCTTTATCCCGCTATTGCTGACCGTTTTCATCTCGCCGGGAACGGCTACGATCTGACATTCAAAAAATGTTCACAAAATTTAGGGTGGAATTCAGTTTCACAGCGATAGTCAACAAGCCCCAGCGCTCTCATTTTCTCTCCGATTTAAATGCAAACTATGTCATTTTGTAGATGTGATCACGCTCTCCCACAGAAAACCCTCTCAGGTCCATAACTACTGATTTGCCACATTGTGTCCGGCGTGTGTGTGTCTGCTCATTTGCATAATTTCTTGGGCAAATGTTTGTGATAATGTATGGGTTATGATGATATGTGTGACTAAATATATATGTGTGTGTGTGTGTGTGTGTCTTCAGGCTCTAGGATGTTTACGGTCTCTCCGTGCCCCTGCACATGGTCGGCCCCTAATGCAATACAGCTGTTAGGGTCCCGACACAGGGGCCTCCCATCAACGGTTTCATTGTAATGGACTGTGTGTCTGTGTGTGTGTGTGTGTGTGTGTGAGTACATGCTTGCTTCTCCGGGTGTTTGTTCCTGTGTTTGTGAATGATTGTGCGTTTTATTGAACGTGTTTGTATGTACGTGTGTTTTTGTCGTTCCTTCTCTTTGTTCCCGTCTTTCTCTTTCTGTGAGTTTATTTCTTATTGTGTGTTTCTGTCTGTCTGCATGTGTGTGTGTGTGTGTGTGTGGGTGTCGCATATCCTGTTGATGTTGCTCGGATCACCTCTTTCTCTGCCTCCTAAAAAACACAGCTTGTGTTATGAACAAGTCAGGCCCCCTTTTGTCTCAGGTGAAATAGTCCCTCTCCATTTTCTCCCTCTCGTCCGTTCCTGTTCCTCGGAGACATGTTTTAACTGCAGATGATGGCTTCCACGTGAGAGGCTAGTTACTCCTGATCGGGCGCGTCGCCCCGCTACCTAACATGCGATCCATTGTCGAGTCGGGATGAATCGCCGCTCAGCTCGCGGCAAAGTGAAGTCTGAAAGGAGAGGCGCTATTAGCCGTGGCCCATTGTGCGAATGGTAATGACACAAACATCTTTTCAAAATGTGGCGAGCCAAAGCCTCGGCCCTCTTTTCTCTCAGCTGGCATTTTGAGGGTTGTGCCCAGGTCAGCGCCGCTTCGTCGTGTTGGCCGATTGCCGCGCAATCCGCCGCATAATGGGGAAATTAAGTTTCCATAATGCCCAAATGAGGTTATCATCGGCTGTGCAGCTGTTTACGGGGTCAAGGAGAGATACTGTTTCCAATCCAGGTCCTGATTTAGTCGGGGAATCTGACTAGATTTAGCCCTTCCACAGTATTTTCTCCGTTTGACCATGAATTTGACTAAACAGGGAACTAATGCCACTGGTTGTTGTTGGATATCGACAGGTTCATACTGTTATCTTAGCTGACACAAAGAGGAGTGAATGTATTTCTGGATTTCTTAATATTTCACTACCTCTCGCCTTTGAAACTAAACAGAATGAAATGATGACAGTGACCTGTTGAGGAGAATTGTGTGATTGGGCTGAAAGCTCCAGATTATTCACTAAATACATGTGCGGGATTTTTCTCCAAAGTTTCTGATTTTGTAAATATTTCTAAAACCTTCACCATGTATTCATGCTGTATGCGTGTGTGTGACTGTACAGTGGGTTCAGTGACGGGGGCTCGCTGTCTCTCCTCCTTGCCCTGCGTGTGCGTGCGTGCATGTGTGTGTGTGTGTATGTGTGTTCCTGTCACTGTCTGAGTGTGTGTGTTAAAGTATCACAGAAGTGACAGTCTGTCAGCCCTGCTTTTCTCTGCACTCTCCGGAACAATAGCTGGATTGGCCGTATGTGTGACACGTAGACCACACACCCCTAATAGTGACTGGCAGCACTATGGGCTGGAAGCAGCATGCACTCTCTAGGTCACACACACACACACACACAGACACACAGTACTGTACATACACCTGAGGACACAATGGGTGTGGGTGATTGGTGAGGGTTTCAGTGTGTGTGTGTGTGTGTGTGTTCACCCATGCATGTTAGCTTGTGCATATGTTCTGTTGGAAGTGTTTCAGCTGTCTTCTTGTCACAAAACTGCTCCAATGTCTCAGGATCGAGCATCTTGCCTCTCGCTGCATCAATACAAAGGCACAAAGAAACGATTTATCAAACATGCATATTCCATCTTATTTTTCTACTATGGCCATGAAAATGAAAAGGAAAAGAGACCCGGATCGGCTGGACGATGCGCATCACACCCGAATACCTCGTCCTTGTTCTGCATTGACACCGAAGGGCATTGAAAAATCATATAAACAGTCTATTCAAACTAATAGCTAGAATAAATGCGTTTGAAGACAGGAGTGGGTAGGAGGTGAGGAAAAAGTTTCAAACAGAGAGAGAATGGATTCATCTGTGCAAGACAGCATCACTGCCTCATAACAGTCAGTTAGCCGATGCTGCAAAAAAAAAACTCCCCGTCTCCGCGACCGTCAGCAAACGGTGACAACGGATCCGCCCGTCATTGGAGATGCGGGACGGCCACTGCGCTGCGTCACGGGGAGAGAAGCTTGTGGCCTCTCCTCACACCGATCCCGTGCCAAGGCTCGTTTTTTACGACCGCTGTTCCGTTTGCTTTACTCAGTCAGCCAGGCCGGTCATGTGAACAGCACGCCACGTGTCCGAGAGAGTGACAGTAAAAGAGGCGGGAAACAACACAACTTAACCAATTCAGCACGGGCGATTGCAGAGCATTGCAAGGACGTGGTGAAAAGTACTACTGTTATGGGCCGCGAGCTTGAGTGTGGCCTCCAGGAGAAGAGTGGTTCAGGAATCACTTGTTGTCCTCTTTTTTTTTTCATCCGCCAACGTCTACAGAAGTAAAGTGGAGTTGTATCTGTGTGCGTGTGTGTGTGTGTGTGTGTGTGTGTGTGTGTGTGTGTGTGTGTGAGGGAGAGATGGACTTGGGGAAGGGGGCAGCACTGCTGTGCTTTTGCACTCGCCAGTGATGAGCCCTGTGGTCAAATGGCCCCTCCCCTTTGCTTACACACACACACAGACACACACTGAGGAAGAGCCTTTTTGCTGCTGGCCCTTTAAGAGCTGAGCCTCGATCGCACAGCTTACAGCGAGGGAGGGAGAAGAGGAGGGACAGAGGCAGAGAGAGAGAGAGAGAGAGGGGGAGAGAGGGAGGGAGGGTGTAAGGCTGAAAGTGTGTGAGTAGAGAGACGGAGAGGAACACAGAGAGAGAGAGAGAGAGAGAGAGAGACAGAGAGAGAGAATCGGCAGTGTGTGTGAGAGGTTGAAGGATCACTTCTCTCCCGTCTTGTTTTGGGGACACTTACCTAGTTCATCTGAGCGTTGTGGGACTGTTTTATGTTGTTGTTGACAAGAGCGACGGACCTTTACTCCAGCATGCTCACTGAGCCTGAGCTACCTCAGGAGTGTAACAGGTTCGTGCCGCGCGCTCTCTGTCACACACACACACACACAAACACACACACACACACATTCACGTAGAGATGTCCGAGACAGAGGACAGGACGTAGTAGGACACATTTAAGAAGGACAGGAGTAGAAAGTGGAGAGACATCAGTGTGGAGAGAAGACTCGGTATGTTTGTTTGTGTGTGTGTCTGTGTGTATAAGTGTCTGTGTGTGAAGCATGCAAAGTGTCTCAGCGGGTCCGCTGAGTGCGTGTGTGTGTGTGTGTGTGTGTGTGTGTGTGTGTGTGTGTGTGTGTGTGTGACAGGCAGAGACGGAGGTGAAGGAGAGTTGATGATCGACTCCTATTCGCCCTGCAAAACTGGGAGAAGCAGGCAATAAATAAACGCGCGCGTCCGCGCGTGTGTGTGTGTGTGTTTGTATGTTGCCCCCCCCCCCCCACTCCCCCCAGAAGTGACACAATTGTCCCACTTCTCCTCCTCTATCCCACCTGAAGTTGTGTTTATTCAGTTCAATACCTCCATAGACAAACTGCCTAAAACGGTGTGTGTGTGTGTGTGTGTGTGTGTGTGTGTGTGTGTGTGTGTGTGTGAGGAGAAAATGAGACACTCTTTCAGAGAGAGTTTCTGTCAAAGTCCCGATGTTGGATCCCCGTCTCATCTGCTCGTCTCACCACAACTTAATTTACTTCTGCTTCAACTTATGGGCTATTTATAAGTCTCCGCCTGCGTCCTCGAGCTCTCTTCAACAAGTCACAATTACTTCGAGGTGTTGTTCATTTTTTTTTTTAGACGTGACCAAAGCAACGAAAGCAAACAACTGCTCCATCCCCAATGGGAGATGTTTACACCCTTGCCCTCCCAGCTCAGCCCCGGCGTTTGAAATTGACTTCTTTCTTCCCTTTAATCCAAATTCAATACACGCAAAATCGCAGTAATCCTATTGTCAATCTGCCTGCTGCTGCTGCTGCTGGTGGTGTTGTTGTTGTTTTTATTTTTATTTTTCTCTTGCCTTATGCTAATGTTAATCTCGCTGTGAGTTTGTGCGGGGGCCCCCGAACCCGTGCCCTCTACCCAACGCTGTCAACGCGAGTGGCTCTTCGCCGCTGGAATAATGGCCGTATGATGCTAATGCCGTGAGAGACAGGATTATGTTCTAATACCCAGCGTTTTTAATACCAGCGCACGCCCTCGCTCTCCCTTCCCCTGCTTTGACTTTTATTGCTTAAAATGGTGGCGTTCTGTCCCCCCCACACTCCCGATGAGACAATCTTATGTTCTGAGATAAACTAAGGGGTCGGTGGGGTTGCAGTTTGGTCTGTTGGGAAGGGGGGGGGGTCAGGTTCAGGGGCCCCTTAAATTAAGAAACCCTTTACATGTCGCAAACTCCCCCCCCCCCCCCCCCCCCTCCGCTGTTTTTAATAAAACCGCTCAATCCTGCAAAGTGGTTAAAGAGCGGGAGAGAGAAAGATAACAACGGCTAGTAGGAATTAAAAATTTAAAGGATTACACCCAAAAGCAGAATGTATGGAGATAAATGCAGGGATTACAATGACTTAGGAGGAGAGCGCTTCAAAACTCTTGCTTTCCAGTAATGCACTCCATCACTGTGGCTCTGGTCCGTGAGCGTGTGTGTGTGTGTGTGTGTGTGTGCGCGTGCATTCATACTGGATCTATGCGTGTGAGCGAGAGAGGGGTATCTTTCTTTCTCTATGTGTGTGTGTGTGTTTCCTGTGTGTGTGGAGCAGTAGCCTCTGTGTGTGTGTGTGTGTGTGTGTGTGTGTGTGTGTGTGTGTGTGTGTGTGTGTGTGTGTGTGCGTGAGGAGCCAGTGTGTGTGTGCTCTCCAGCCTCGGTGGTCGCGATGCTCTCCGTTCCTGCCTTCCTGTAAGTGTCCGTGCTTCTTTTTCATCCCCGTCGCTCCTCACACTTTCTTCTGCACTAACGCTCGCTCCCACTTCCTCTTTTCCCCCTAAATCACATTGTTGTGAGAATTCACTGGAGGGGTCGGGGGGGGGTCGGAGAGGGGGGTCTGATCCAAAATAGCCAGCGAGGATGAGTTTGTCTGTTTGAGGTTGTGTCTGAAGAAAAAAAGAGAAAAAAATCACAAGTGTCAGTTTTATTATTATTGTCTTTATTTGATGCTGTATACAAGTTATCTACTCTACTCTATCTACATATTTATTTACTCTTGTTTTATTCCAGCTCCCAAAAGCACACAGACGGCCGCGCACGGGGGGAACAAAAAACGGGGGGGTGGGGATATGAAGCCCAAGCCCCCCAAAACACAGCGAAGAGACCGGACAAGGAGGTGGAAGATGGAGAGATGCGGTCAGAGTGACACATTCCTCCCTGATGAGCAGGGGAAGGGGTAGTTACAGAGAAGTGCCGGAGACTGAGTGGGGAGGGGGTCTAGGGGGGAGGAAGAGGTCTCTGTCGATGTGGTGTTAAGGCCCTGGTAGACTTTCACACCCCTCCATTTGTCCCCTCGGTTTATTGGGGTGTTTTGCGTGTGTGTGTGTGGGGGTGTGTGCGACTGCCACTGGTTGTGTCAACACTTTGAGCGGTTGAAGCGGGACTCGCTCAGATACAATCTGCTCAGATTCCATTAAGGCAAACTGTTGTTTTATTGCTATTCAGAAATTTAGTCAACTGCTGCTTTTGTAATTTGAATTGATGGTATCAAATTCCACCGTTGTTACTTTAAATACAAAGTAATGATGGATTTAAGAATTTTGAGTTACCGATTTAGATGAAAATATGAAGTATTTTAATTTGTAATTATTGTAATTATTATTAATTATTATTATTTAAAATAATTACTTAAAACAGCATTCAGATTCCTCATTATGCACAAGTGATATTCATTATTATAATATTAAAACATTTGCAAACCTGCAGCACCGTTGCTTCTAAAACATGACTTTTTATATTTTTATATATTATTTTATATCTTATAAATATATAGCTGTATGGCCTGCTTATTTTTTTTTTAAAGGGAGTACTTTTTGTGCCATCCGATAAAAACTTGTTTCCAATTTAAGTGAGCAGTGCTGCTTCCATTGCGGGTGTCTCTCTACTTCATTTAAAAGGCCGAGATTAAAGTGGTGTGTGTGTGCGCGTTTGAGGACAGGGAGTGAGAGTGTGTGTGTGTGTGTGCGTGTGAAGGAGGGAGCGAGTAGAGTAATTGAGTGGAGTGTCCGTGCTTTGCAAACTAATACGCCATTCTGCCCCTCTCTTCCCCTGTGGCCCTGTCCCGGCCTCTCTTCCCCCCCACCACCTCCCCTCCCTCTCTCTCTCTCTCTTTCTCTCTCTCACCCCCACCACCTCCCCTCTCTCTCTCTCTCTCTCTCACCCCCACCACCTCAGACTAGAGACCATTGTCTGGACCATATTGTCTGTCCCCAGAGAGCCTTGATAACCGTGTCTCCCTCCAGAGGGAGAGAGAGAGAGGGGGGGGGGGCTAAGAAAAAGAAAGGGAAAGAAAGAACCATAGACAGAAAAATACCAGAGGAGAATGCTAGAGCCCCCCCACTTCCTCCCCTCTTTTTAGCACACTCCCACCCTCCCCCTTCAGCTCTCAAACTCTGTGCGACCGCGGGGATCGGCTGACCCTGTCTGATAGCCAATAGAAGAAAAGGAGGGGGGGGGTTGGCAGAATTTGTCCTTGTTGTTGCTGTTTATGGAGGGTGGGGGGAGCGGTGAGGGTGCTGGAGTCTTAGAAGTGACTGGGACAGTCTTTGGAAAGCAGACAGACATGCAGAGGTGTCCCTCCAGGCTAATACGAGACTGGTGATGTGGTGATGACATGAAGTTACGGGGTAAGGGTCAAAGGTCAGGTGGAGGTATTGCATCGTCAACAGAGCATGCCTTGTATGTGTGTGTGTGTGTGTGTGTGTGTGTGTGTGTGTGTTTATCTTCGATTCACACTTCACATTCCTCTTCTTCTTCATTCTCTTCATCAACCATCCATCAATTCAGGCATCTTATCTTGGACTAATCCTAATGGGCTGTGTTTGTCTCGATACGTTTTTTGTCCCACACACACACTCACGCGCACACACACACACACACACACCATTTACCATCAGTCCAATCTACCAAAGGAGACAGTGTTAGAGGCTTGGAGCTACCTCCCAGTGCGCCACAATGAAACCCTTGTCTTTCCAGGTAGTGAGGGAGGGAGAGAGAGGGGGAAATATATATCTATATATATATGAGAGGGGGTAAGACGGGGTCGGCAGAGGGGAAAAAGAGGAAAGACCATTTGTGCCGAGGTGGGAGCGTTTCTAAGTGGGGGACGAAGGAAGAAGTCCTGCCGTGAGAGTGTGTGTGTTGCCATTTATGTCAGAGAATGCGCGTGTGTGTGTGTGTGTGTGTCTGGTTTACAGGGGCAAGCCAAGTCACTGACAGTGAGACAAATGTTGTGACTCGGTTATGGATTGCTTAACAAATGCGGCACAAATAGTGGCCTGGCGCAACAATGGAAAAACACTGTCCCTCGCTCAATAAACATTATGCAGCGTCTCCCCCTCGCAAAACACCAGGGGAGCGGGGCCGCCGTCCACCGGATGCACTTTTCCTCCCTCCGTCTGTCTATCTTCAGCCACCCCCCCCACCCGCCCCCTCACTGCCCCTTCTGCCTCTCTCCTTCCTTTTTCTATGGCAACACTCAAGATTTTCCCACGATCTGTTTTCACTCCACCCTCCAAGTGATGACGACAAAAGCCACGTAAAGCTTACGACCTTCTCCTCCTCCGTCCGCCGTCAATCCCCACTCACCTAAACCTCTCTCGCGTGGTCACCTACGCACACGTCGTCGAGGTGACTCGGTGTGAAGACATTTTTTTTAAGGGGGTGGGGGGGGGAATAGGCAAAAAGCGACGGCGCGGAGCGACGCCTCGCTGGTGACTAAGAGAGAGGGGTGGGCGAGAGAGGTCGTCCTGGAGGCCGTATGAGGTGGCCCACGTCTTCAGAGCACCCCCATCCCGCCGTACGCACAACACATGACT